TGAACTCCAAGCCCAGAGCCCCAAAACCCACTCAGAAAACCTAGATTCTAGACCCTCAACTGCAAACCGGGCAACCCTAAACAGATCTCATACCCCAAACCCTCAAACCCCAAACCCTGGAAAGGCAGAGTCGAGTTGCTGGTCTGCAATGTCACGAGCCTTCTTCTGATTCTTCTCCGTCTCCTGCCACGGGTAGCGAGTCTATCCCCTATCCGGGGAACTTAGTTTCAGATGCTGAGCCTTAAACCCTAAACCGAAGCACTATAAAGTCTTGCGGCTAGTTCCCTCATTCGGGGAACTTACATTCAGATACCATAGCCAGGAAAGCGTATTTACGAGGGTGATCCGTCTTGGGTGGTGATCACCTGGATCTCTGCGCCCGCTAATGCCTTGTCAGCTCTACATGCTTGCCTATTTTCGGCGTCGGGGTGTTTCGGTCTTCGCGCAAAGCTAGGAGGAGCTCCTCCACGGGATCTGGATACACTTTACGCCTGAGACGACGACTCCCATTGAGGATTCAGAAAGGAGTAGGTCGAAGGTGCGTGGATCGCCAACCACTGCCGGTCCTCCTCACGTATGCGAGCTTTCTCTGCCTGGCCGAGAGAGGGTTTAGGGTTGAGGGCCTTTCGGGTCTCAGCCAGAGCTCGTCGGCTTTCGGGGCGTTTGGGAGAAGATTACACAACCGACTGCCAAGTGAGAAGGGTTCCTTGAGACCCAATAACAATACACCGCGGATCGAAATCTAAGCTGCATGGGACCGGCTTCGGGTTTCGGGTTTACACTGCGCTCTCACTCCTTTTTGGTTGCTTTCCTTTCGCCGCTGCCTTTGTTGTGCGATTCTTTGAACACCTGGGTCGTTGTCAACAGCATGGTCCCTCGGAATGCTACAAGTGCATGCAGAATCCTGCCTGGGCAGAAAATGCGCATTATTCATTGAGCTGAAACATCGTTGAGAGAATCCCAAAACCTACACCCTAAATCCCAAATCTCAGACCCGTCCTAAACCGTCCTAGACCCCAAACTCCCAGCTGACCTCTTCGACCCCTTTCGTGTTGGGACGCTTCTGACGACACTCCACAGTGCAATAAGTGAGGCATTCTGCCCTTCAGTGCCAAGTCCTGTCCTGTTAACGGAAGTGGAGGGCCTAGTAGGGGCCAGCCTAGAGTTGAGGGTTATCAGGTGGTTTCACGGTTGTTTTAGGGAATCGGGGATTCCGGATGGTTTAGGGTCTCTCGAAGAGTCTAGGGCCTCTAGGGGCACTCAAATGAGCACCCCTCATTAGTTTTGGCCTTATGAACCACAAGCTGCTTGACTTGGGGGCTTAGAACTCGACCGGGACCGCACGAAAACAAGGCAATAAGTGAAGCCCTTTGTGTTGTCTTCACATCACTGCCGGAGCTTGTCAAGTCCCGAAGGATTTCTTATCGGATTCCTGTGGCTCGGGTTTAGGGGCGTGTAAGGTTCACGGTTTAAGAAGTTTAGGTCCCGGAAATTTTGGGGTATATGCTGTTGGGCCCTCACTACGGATTTAAACTTCGCAGGTGTGCAGGAGTCTTGGCTTGCAGGAAACGTCTAGGCTCCGGGCAGCCCTCCAAGCAGGGAGGTGCACTTCAGCAAAGGAGCGGGATTCAAAGGGGTGTGTGTAACCCCCGAATCCTTCGAGGCTCACGGGTTTAGGGTGGCGCAAAGTGTGCGGACCAAGAACAGTCACTGCTTGCGTGCAGCCTTCGAAAGACCACGAGTGCCGTCCTAGGTTTCGGGTTTTGTGACATTTAGGGTTGAATTATGTCCATGAATAGTAAATCATCCGGTTTCGCTATCAGAAATTTAATCGGCATTTGATGTCCAAAGTTTTGCAGATTCTACACTGTGAAACCCCCCAGCCACGAAATTTGTGCATCCACAATCTCCCTAAATCCGAAAGCCCTAATACGCCAGATCTAAAGGCAAGAATACAAACACCTGATCAAAGAGACTGGGGTTCGCACGGTTCTCCGCAAAATCAGTAATCTAACAAATCCTAAACCCTAAACAAGAGTGCTGCTAATCAAAAAGGCCGCTAAAGCCCTGTATTGCACTGAAAACACTACCCAAAACCCTCAGTTGCAAAGCTTCTTTACAGGAGGGGATTCTAGGCCTAAAACCGTGTGTAATTGTTTATTAATGTTTACAAGGGCCACCCTTGCGTTGAGGGTTGCATTCGCGGTATTCCTCTTGAAGATTCTACGGGTACATCCTAGATGGTGCTGGTCATGACCTATATAAGCTGTAAACTCTCAAACGTATGGTAAGCCCTAGGCCTGAATTCCAAACCCTCAGCCCTAAAGCCAAGATCCTTCAACCTGAATGCTTCGGGCTAAAGCCTAAACTGCTGTGTTCCTGACCCTCGAACTAAGCGTCACTCGCTCAGTATCGGCGTGCTTCAACCCAGGGTGCGTCGTAGCCTGTGTGTCTGGTTTGCGAGGTTCAAGGAATTTGCGCAGGGGTTCGGAGGGGTTCTGACTGCTAATTAAGTAGGTGTTTGGAGCTCATCATCGGGTTTAGCCTAAACCCAACGAGGAACTTGAGGATTCTTTGGGGAGGACTGAGAACTAGTAGACTGTCTTGACTATTGAGTTTGACATTGTTCCGCGAGAAAGACGTTACTGGTAATGCCCGGGCTTTTGAGTGCTGCCCACTGTTGCAATCTCCTTGGGAAGCCCGATCGTCAATTGAACCTTTTACCCCTAAGCCCCCAACCTGAAACTCTCAGCTTCTATCCGTCAGCCCGGAACTCTAACAGTAACAATGATAGTGACAAGAATAGTGCTACCCACATTCTTAGTAATAATAGTAATCATAATAATGACATTATTCTAGAAGCCCTGAGCCTGAAGCCTGAATCCTGAAGCGATCAGGTCGAAGCCCAAAACTCGAAACCGCGGACCCCGAACCTGAAACCTCAAGGTTTAGGCTTCAGGGTTTAGGGTTAAGTTCAGAGCTTCGTGGAAATAGGCGTCGCAAAGTTCAGGACAAGACCTCTGGACGATGTTTCGAAATACGGGACCACCAAAACCTAACCCCCTACATGAATCCTAGGCCCCACATTTTCGCCAAGCCACCCATTTGGGGAGCATATTGTGGCGGGAGCTGCTGCTGCGGATCGCGCTGACGCGGTGCGGTGTCCTAAGCTCGGAGCTTTTTTGGGCTATTATGAATCTTGTTCAACTGTTACCGAGTGGCCGAGTGGGGGGCAGTATCCAAGAGTAAGGTAAGCCTCAGGCTCCAGCTGTGTTAATGTAGGGGCCTTAATGATTAGAATAGGGTTTTGGGGTACGTTATCGTTTGATTTGAATAAGGAGCCCTGAGGGATAATGGAGGTACTAATTTAGGCCCCAAAATTACGCTTGGTGTATTTGGAGCTCTATAGGGCAAGTTTCGGCATTTCGGATCTAAGCAGCCATAGGCTCCATTGTAGTTCCGTTTTGTGGCTTATGTTTAGGACCCTATGAGGTAACCCTCCAGAAAGGAACTTTAAAAAAAATGGAGCCTAAGGATAAGCATTATCTGGCTCCAGGACTTGGAAGTTCAGCTTCCCGTGCCCCCAACCTCCACGACCCTCCGCCCCTGCCCCTGCCCGCAGTGGACCATCTTTAACCTTTAGAGTTTAGGGTTCAGGGTTAAGCAGAGTCCACCTAAGTCTCCACTGTAGTTCCCGCTTTGGGTTTAAGCCATTTGATTACACAAGGATCCTGCAAGGTAACCTCAACAAGGAACTACATGGACGCCGCAGCTCGAGTTTAGGATTGGATATTTGGGGCCTTTCGGGTTTGAGGTGACCACGGCCAAGTCTCTTCTTAAATACACAGCCATCCGCTTGCTGGGTCCTGCTCGACTATACAGCTAACTCTCCCGAACGAACCCGAAAATACAGCACCCTATACACACCGTTTGACATGCTCAAAAACCCTACGACCTAAACCCAAACAAAACCTACTAAATCCTAAACCCCGGAATCAAGGCGCTTGAGAAGTCCCTCCGCCGGGAAGTTCGTGCCGGTAAGAGACCGCTTCGAAAAAAGGCCCCAACAGGCCCGCAACCCCAATTGCACCCTAAACGCTGAAACCCCACACCCCAAACTCTACATCCTAAATCCCGCCAGCCCGGAACTCGTAATTGCTAAGTCCTGAACTCCAAGTAGACCCTGTAGAGAAGTACCCATTGTTGGGCAGGCGGCGGCAGTGATTCCGAACACGGAGAAAACGCTGTTCGGGTCCTGCAGCTCTCCTCGGCCAACCAGAAGACTTCTAACTGTTCAGGGTTTCGGCTTTAGGGTTCAACTGCGTATTACTCTTGCTAATGCTCATGGTAATTATGGTCATTGGCATCGGTATTGCTTGTTGAGATTGCTGGTAGTCTTCTGAGGCTACGCTCCAGGGAAGACCCCAAAGGGGTTCGGCGAACTTTTCGACGAGCGTCGGCGCATCAGGTCATAGCATCGCTGGGAGCCTGGCACAAAGACTCCCGTAGGCTTCCCAGGGTGTTTGGCCGAAGTTTGGGAAGTGTTTCAGGCTCCTGCAGTCTTTTTCTTCCTGCAGGGCAGGTTTGCAGAAGTAAAGACTTGTACATTTTTTGGGACTGCTTCTTCGCGTCGCCGCTGAAACACCTAAGCAGAAATCGTAATCCTGAACCTCAAACTAACCCACCTTCAATGCCAAGCCCTTAGCGCAAAACCCGGACCACAGTACATCCTGAGACCCCGGGCCCTATGAACCCTTAAACCGTGAGCCGTAAACCATAAAACCTAAACCTGAAATCAGAAACTCTACTACAGGGGCCAATGCTTCGAACAGGGCTGTGCGGTACGAAAAAACTAGGAACGGTAAGGGAATTCGGACATTGCCGCCAACTCTTCCAACCCATGTATCAACCCAAAAGCCCAATTAACCCAAACCATATATTAACCGCAAAAAAAAAATTTGAACCCTAAAACCCAGTTAACCCAAACAGGCCGAGGGAGCAGTACTCTCCAATCTCAGTCTCCAGGATGGGTGGCTGTTCAAGCCGGACATTGCACCAACGACACGACGCGGTGACCTTGGCTTCAGAACCCCTCGGTTTAGGCTTTTGGGTCTAGGGCCCTGCTTGATTCCTGAGAGCCTAATAAGCATTTCAAGGCCTGGCTCCAACCCCACGCCCCGACCTCCCTAAGACCCTCGGCCATCTTGGCAACTTCAACTCCCCCGAAGCCCCAACTCCCGAAACAAATCCCAAAGCATGCCGCCCGCGAGCCCCCAAAGTCGCCAGCAACTAAACCCCAAAGCCCTGAGATCTACATCGCCAAGCTCCTGACATCGATCCCGAATTCCCCAAGCCCACCTAGACTCCTAGAGCCTGAACCCCACACCCCAACCCAAAATCAACTCGGCGAAGCTGCGACCAGCTGAATCTCCAACGGACCGGCGCGTGTGTTCGGCAGGAGCCTTGTGAACCAGGGGAAGAAACCTTTCCTCTTTCAGGGTCTAGGTATCTATTCCCGTAAAATAGATTGTACCAAGTAGGGTTTTGGACTGAGGGCTCCATGTATCTATTCCCATGAAGCGACTGAACATAACTGTACCGAACAACCTCATAGCTGCAGGGCCAAGGCATATACTTTCTGGGCACCTGGACCCCAAGGGTCACGGAACTCGGATCCTTAAAGGGCTCCGGGTTGAGGGTGGCTTTTGTGAAGGGGCCATGCAGTGTTAGGGCTCGGGGTCTCCATCAGGTGGATCTTGCAGTATTCGATATGATACCCTATATTGCTTAGTTCGGGGAACTTCGATCTCTCGGTTGAGGGTTCGGCTCGGCACCTTGAACTGACATGACCCCTCTCCTGCTACGGCTTACGGGATAATCAGCCCATGTGAGTCATGTGGTGCTCAGGAGAGTGGCAGAAGCGTGTGGCTAAGCTAAACCCTTAAACTTGAAACCCATCTAAACTGGGTTGTAGTCTTGGGACCCTTAAAAACAATATGAATAGGTACCTCCATGGGAGCCATGAGGAAAAGCTTAACGTTTTCCCAAAGTGCCACCCATCTAAACCCTCAAACCCTAAACCCTAAACCCTCATAGTCCCAAGCCCGAAAGCCTGCCTGTGCAGTTTGTCGAAGGTGTCCGGTTCGACGTTCTGATGCCCTGCCTTCCGTCGCAAGTCATTCACGGCCCAATCCAAATATAGGTCTATAGGGTTTAGGGATCAAAGTTTTAGGTTTAGGGCCACTCAAACCTAATACAGGGGCCTGGATATTGCGAACAGAGCTTCGAGAATCGATGTTCGCATGGCTCTACTATACAGGGGTTGCAGACCCCTACAGTAGTGCAGATCAATCCTTGAAGGCGGCACGTGAGGCTGGAAGTGGACTCTGCGACTATCTCGTCGAGAGCTCCCTGAATGGCTCCATGCTCGGGTTCCGTATGTCGTGAACCCACACTCTAAGGGCTGCAAGACTTTTGCGAAGGTATTAGAAATTGGGGCTGAGTTGCTAAGTCTACAAGGGAGTCGCAGGAAATCTCGTGCAGAGCCTCCGAAGGCCCCAAGCAGTGGGATTCCCACTTCAAGACCCCGGAAAACAATCTGTTTAGAACCGACATATAACACAGGCCAGTTTTGGGCATCAAGGCCGACGGATCACATTTGACTTCAAGACGCCCAGTGATCAGGATCTTTTCATTCATGGTCTGTCTGTGTTCGAGCGGTCCCCTACTTCAGATGGCGATGATAACTATGAGCACCAGCTTGATCCGATGCGTACACGCTGTGCATGCAGAATGCTACCGGCATCTCTTGGCGAGCTACTCGTATTGGCCGCGCATCAGCTTGACAACAAGGTCACGGTTTCTGGTTGCCACACTTTTTGGCAGCTCTAGCTGCAACAGTGCTCACTGCAGTGGCATGGCCTGGGTGACCTGCTGATGGATGAGTCTGATCTCGTGGTACTTCACCTTGGCTTGGAGTTTCTGAGATACATACATTTCATTTGTAGGATGAGATGACACATATATAGACGGGCCTCTTGCGTTGATTTTTGGCCTGTCCAATCCCCGAAGGCCTCACCATGTCCCAACTAAATCCTACCAAGCTCTAGCTAAACTGTTGCAGACTACCGAAGCCCAACCTCAACCCTGAATCAACTTCAACCCCTTCGGAAGATGGACAAAAACATCCTGCCATCATCTCGAACAAGGAATATACTAGAATCCACTAGAAAGTGCTCAAGGAAAACATGGATTCACACACCAGCCGTATGATGCTTCGTTCCAGGACCGGGCCAAGACAAGACCCCAGTTTCAAACCCAAAGTGAACATCAATCTCCAAAACTCTGACACTTGTTGTAGGGTTTAGGGTTTAAAGGTTCAGGGTTTAGGGAGGGGGGAGGGCTCAAGATAATTGGGGCATCTGTTCAATGTCTTGAATGTAGAGCACTGATGTCAATGTGGATGTATGCATAAACATATTACATATGTATATGCGCAGGGGTTCCTAGAGCTTAAAGCTTAGAGGCTTGGGACCTGCTGGGCTCTGGCCAAATGCAGCTGAGCAGCCCGAGTCTGATTCGAAATCCTTTGCTTCAAGTCTCCGACGATGGCGTTCTTGTCCTTCAGGGTTTAGGGTTTAGGGTCCTGAACCCCCTCATCCTTGGGGAACAACCTAGGTTTAAGGACCCTTACCTGCTCGAACTTTCTTGGAACATGCGTACCTCCGCCAGACTTGTTCTGAAATCCGGCCAAGTCACCATCTGGTAGTTCAAGGTCGATCCGCCCATGCTCCGCACAAGAACCTTGGTGTCCGCAACTCAAGGGACGCATTAATGTCGGAACCTGAGTAATTGGAAGAGGGCTTGGGTGGCAACTCAGAACCACAGCGAAATCAATGCAGGGACCGTAAGCGTATCCTACACTATGCGCTCAAATGCTGCCAGCTCGTTCTGCTGATTTGAACAGATTACATTGCTACATGATGCTCGCGTCCAGTCTGCTCCAAGTCAAAGACCTCAACGTGGGGTCTTTCAAAACCCTGACCGCCTAAACCCCCTTCACCCCTGAATGCAAGCAAGGCCCGCATGTTGTTCAAGCAGGGCTCCAAACCATAAACCGAGAAACACTTCGCAAGGCGACTTCAACTGGATTAGACTCGGAGATCTTCAGCCCTTCGCCCCCTCCGTCTTCCAAAAATGAATAGTGAAACCTGATAGCCCAACTCTGAACGTTGGGGCAAGGTGCCTCAAATTGCGGGGCGGCCGCGGTGTAGTCCTCGTTTAGAGCTCTTCCAGTGGTAAACAGAACAGGGCAAGAAGAAACACTCTACAAGAGCACCTTGGGACAGTCCTCCATATGTTGGCGTGTGTAGGCCATGGCTCCTTGCCCGACTCCAACGGAACCCTCGCACAGTCCCTCCAAGATTTTGAGCCCACTGCAGAGTGATGTTGGAGACATCTCTTGAGTGCTTTTGGGTCTTATTTGTACGTATTGTGTTTGCAGGCGGGGCTACATCACACTGAAACCTACACCCTAAAACCTGTCTAATCGCGGAAGAGGCTCGGCATTTGAGGGTCTTGTTCTTCTAGGAATCTGGTGTATTGCGGGCTGGGGATTTAGAGCCTCGGTGCTTGGGGATTTGCAAAGTGTACCATGATAGTTATACTATAGCATAAACCGATATACCGTAATATGCCATAATATACTATAATATACTATAACCTACTATAATATACAATAATATACCATAATACACTGTTGTTTTCCATGATCCACGATAATATACTATAATATACTGTGTCGGCTTGGGATCTATCGAGTCCAGGGATGATGATAACCTTGCTTCGGGGCCTGGCACCAATGATGCATGCGTGCTAAAAGCACAAAAAAAAAGCGAAACCCGCGACCAGCAAAGCCCATCGGGCTTTCCTTTGCGGCGCTTTGGCAAAGCCGGGCTTTGAAAGCTTCTAGAGGGGCCAAGGCTGGGTTTTTGTGGCTTGTAGGCTAGCCGGGCCGAGGTTCAGTCTTGATTTGGGATGGATCACCTGACCTAGGGTTTAGGGGTTTAGGGTTTTAAGGCCAGCAAATACAGGAAACCAACACAGACATAGACGATCTCTCATCCCTCAAGCTGATATTGTATTCCCCCTTCGGATCAGATAAAAAAAGCTACCTATGGTCTTCACTGTAGTTCCCTTTTTTCGTTTAACTAAGTGTATAAAATTAAGATCCTATAGGGCAACCCCCAAAAGGAACTACAATGGAGACTATAGCTGCAGTCCCAGTGCAGCTTCGTAGGAGTTCTCCCCAAGTCTGGGCCCAGACCTGCAGCTATAACCCGGAAACTAAACCTCGAGTTTAGAATTTAGGGTTATAGGCCCTTGTTTCTGGTGAGCACTAGACCGCTTCAAACATAAGGCAACCCCTAACTACTCGACAGCGCCGGAACCAACAGACCCATCCGAAAAGGCCATTTAGAGTATACCCAAACCCGAAACTTCAAGCCCTGAACGTTCTAGCAAGCCCGAAATGCCTTAGAAGCCCCAAATGCTAGCTATATGAACCGAGCGCTTCCCCTTTCTCTTGAGGTCGATGTGCCTCGAAGTGCTGTTTGGCTTCCACGCGCTTCTTTCGCTCCTCTTCTTGGAGCTTCTTCCGCCTTGCTGCGGATCAGTTCCACGCATTGCAGGGGGGGAATTCGGTCACACCTACCTGGGTATCCACAAACCTCCCCCCCTGTAACCAGCGGGTCATAACTTTACTATTTTGTGGTGTTTGGGGATACAGTGACACAGGGAGTTATTGGCTTGCCTCGCCCAAGAATGGTTCATCTCTTGATCATGGTAGGATTCTACGCACCCCTCACAAATGTTAAGGACACCGACTCAACAGCTTGTGGTCTAGGGCTGAAGGTTTCAGGACTTATGGGAGAATGCCCTGGCTGCTCTAGTTCGATGTCAAATCAGCCTGAGGACGTGAAGAACGCGTAACAACGAAAACACTTACAGCAGCATCTGCATACAAAGGCCCCGATCAGCGCCCTCTTAGGGTGTTGCAGCATATTACCGCTCTGCTGCCGTGCGTCTCGGCTTCATGCTCTTCAGCCTGCTTTTGCGCCTTCTCCGCTTGCTCTTTCCGGGCCTTTCCATGACGCATCCCGAACTCTATCATCCTTAGATATGATCTTCGGAACTTCGGCTAAGTCGAACATTTCACCCTCCCGTCAAGCCTGCAACCAATTTCATCTGCCGCCCAAAACCCTAAACCTCAAAACGCAGTGGGAGCTTCAGACAGCTAGGGGACCCCAAATAAGCCCTACCTCACGTACCAATACGATCCCTCATTGCTTGCTTTAACCTAGTATCGTTCGTGAGTCGCAGAAGCCCAAAACCCGAACCTTAACATTCTGAAATCCAAGAGCCCTCACGTGGAGGATCCGGAATCCGGGTGGGAGGGCATATTCTGTACAAGTTTTAACTCCACCGCAAGCCTTCAATTCCTCTCCTCTCGAAGCTGGAGGGAAAGATGCCCAATAGCTAATGAGTCAAAAAGGGCCTCGCAGCACCAGCCGCAACATCAGATTGTTAACAACCCCCCGCATCATCGCAACACCTTCTGACCAACACTAAAAAGTCAGCCGCCCAGAAGCCGGAAGCGCTGTCTAGGGCACGAGGTTAGGGTTCGAAGTTCTATGTAGAGGGCAGACACTCGCCAGACCCGTAAATGTCGTACATGTTTTTGGACGACTTATTTCCTGGTTAGGATCCAGCTTCAGGTTTCTGGGTCAGCTCGACACCTGCTCCTTCTCTGCTTCGAGGTCAGCACGCTGCTGCTCGTCCTCGCGTGTCTCGGTACTAGACGTGGCAGGGGTCTCAATGATTTGTAATTATAATAAGGGATACCATAGGACTCCCCTTAGCTAGATATCCACTTCTAGGCCCTACACCTGAAGCGCTACTCAAACCATAAGGCGCCTGTTTTGAGCCCTTGGGCATCGATTGAACCCACATGCTCACGCTCCAAATTGGAAGCATTAAGCCCCAGGAACCGAAAGATTCACAAGCCCTAGCCTGAACTGTAAAAGGACCTGCGGACTTTGCAATCTGGATTTAGGGTTACACCTGATTTTGGTAAGAATGCTCCTCCAGGGCATCGAGGCGCTCTGCCTCCCAGGTAGAGCTGTCGAAGAGTATGAAACAAAGAGGATGCGCAGTTTAGGGTTCCGAGTTTCAGGGTCAGAGTGTTGAGCTTGAAATGGTCCCAAATCCTGTTCGCGTCCTCGGCCGTGAATGGCCTCTCGGTGTGTGTGTGTGCGTGCGTGCGTG